GAATGCTGGAAAATCCGGCGGGCGAGTTGGAACTAAGATAAGCTCAGAAGCCTAGGCTGGACAGCTTGAACCCAATGCGCCCTCCTCGTGCAAAGAACTCTCTCGCTGGATCAGACTTCACACTGAGAAGTCTCTGGAGAAGCGTTTGCACTTAAAAATAGATGTCCTTCAATCGTAGAAAGAGCAAAGACCACGGGGTCTGATCACGAATATCCATAAAGAACAGAAGACAAGTACACAACTTTTGATGGTTTCATTCATTTTGCCGCTCAGTTCGACAAACTAAAGAAAATTTTTATGGGGGTGAAGGACGTGTCGTAGCGCACGTATGCAGGTCAGCGGACAATCTGCGGGAGTCGATTATTTCCTTCCACCGATTGGTTTCGGGGATCAAACTTAGGTCACTAGACCTGGCAGCACGAACCTTTACCCATTGAGCCATCTCAATGGCCCGCAATTTTTTTAGCCATTGTCAGGGTTGTTGTTTTTTTTCCCTTTTATTACCGTTTGTTTTCCTCCACATAATACCCATTTTTAAATCCTACTCTGTCCCTTTCCACCATCCAGTATCAGTAAATCTTACTGCTTTTTATCTTGAGTTCTTTCTGCCCTCCAACCTACCTTTCTATCTCTGTTGTGACTTTTTTTTAATGTGTTACCTATCTTAGATTGCCCAGTACACCATCTCCAGAACAGGAGATTGTTCATGTGTAATTGAGCCCTCCCAGTAGCTTATGAAACGGTCCTAAGATTTCCACAGTATACCATAGCAAGAACCCCCTACTTAGACGCCATCATGTTCTTGACTATTTTATTCAGCTGTGCAGTTACCTCTCCTTATTCTCTTATTCTAAGGCACCCTTCAATTGTGCCATTCAAAATAGCATGTGATTTAGCGACCGAGTGGGTCATAAAGTCTCTTTACCCTCCATCTCTAGCATCACAAAAAGGAAAGGAGGGTGGGCTGACAGCTTAAAGACAAATATTAAGCCTGTCTAGTCTAGGAAAAAAGTTATTCCCTTGTTGGTCCATCAATATTTACATTGTTCTTGGACAGTAAAAGGACAGAACTGACTCAAAGTGACAGAAAAATTTCCAACCTATGATATTACAAATGAGGGCTTACTTAGCAGAGAGAGAAAAAGCAGGGTTTGGTGTTTTATAGTTCTGTAATTTGATTAAGTGTTAAATATTAAGTATTAACTAGACTAAAACAGTTGGGGCGGGGGAACAGTTCTACTTAAGCTGTTAGTCAGAAGAAGCTCTCAAACCTGAAAGAGTTAATGAAAAAAGAGATTCTTAAGTTTTGACTTCTTATATCTGTAAAAGCAAGTATTAGCAAATGATGTCTCACAGAACAAGTCAGATTCGCCACCACGTTTTGATAAATCCTGTGAGCTAAAATTAGTTTGTATATTTTTAAATAGTTAAGTAATAAACAAAAGATATTTTACAATGTAAAAATTGTATTTATCTGGGTGTGGTGATCCAAACTTCAGCACTTGAGAGCTTGTGGCTGGAGATCTAAAATTCAAGACTAGCCTGGGCTTTAACTGGGAAACGTAGAGACTGTCTTAAAAAAAAAAAAAAAAAACTGTCTCCAAAAAAATTATGAAATGAGTTTACTGGCTGCAGATAGTCAAGCTTACTTAGTCACATTATCTACGAATGTATTTGCAGTACAACAGCACAGCTGAATGGTTTATAAAAGCTAAGCCCTTTGCTATCTGACCCTAATTTACAGAATGACTTTGCTAACCCCTGCCCCCTGCTGTTGAGTTCAGAAGTCACTAGCCACAGGTAGACACTATTTGGGCACTAAAGGTACAGGGATTGAAGAACTGAATCTTTACTTCAAATTTATTTCAAATTTAAACAGCCTGTGGCTAGTGGCAACTGTATTAGACAGCACAACCCTAGAGACTCATGGGCTTCTGCCTCCCTGATGCTGAGATTAAAGGCATGCACCACCATGCTTGACTAGACTCTGAAGTCTTATGCATTGACTGATTTTCCCCTCATGATGTACCATTCTCTCCTGACACATCTCTCATGGGCTTAGGCAACCCTTCTACCCTCCCTCCCCCCACGTCAGTCCAGGATATTTTTTTACTGGGATTTCTTTCTAGGCTATCCAGTCTTCACAACTGAAATTCAACATCTGACCAGTTTACATTTCATCCCCTGAATGAAGGGAGCCACACTGTATTCACACAGGTAAATGGGCATTTATACAAGTTCTTTTGTGACAGAGGATGGCACTGTGACTATGTTCTTTCTTCTCTGCAGGAGGAAAGTAGAAAAGTTCTAGGCAGGCTGGATCCCTAGTTGTTGTTGGAGCCTGCAACTTGGATCACCTCGTCCCAAACACATTCACAGAAGGTGAGAACAGCAGATGTGTGCTTGCTATTTGAATCTCGAGGAAAAAAAATCCTTTATCACTGGACAGTGTTTCCTCTTCCAGGCCAGGAAACTGAAGTTAGCTGATTTCTCTAGTTTCATAGATGAGCTAGCCAATTGAACAGTCCTATGCCATCAAATCTTGGCTAGGCCCTCCAAAACATTAAACAAATATACTAAATTAAATGACCACCATAAGAATGGGCTGTGGGACAGTAATTAAAATGGAAAGAGTATCATAACTCATAGATGCCCATAACTAAGAATATTTACATAAACAATCTTCAAAGTTTCTCACATTTTCAGCCAGGGAAAAATATGAGTCTCCAATAAAATTCCAGTTTAAAAAGAAAAGTCAGGACACTTTGTTCTTTATGTTAGCTAAATTAGAAGCAAAAGTAGCCAGGCCGTGGTGGCACATGCTTTTAAGGCAGAGGCAGACAGATCAGTCAGTTCGAGGCCAGCCTGGTCTACAGAAAGAGTTCCAGGACAGGCTCTAAAGAAACACAAAGGAACCCTGTCTTGAAAACAACAACAAGAAGAAGCAAAAGTAAAAACCCAAATCCTTTTTCTTTTTTCTTGTGGGAAAGGGTCTTAATATGTACCTCTGGCTGGCCTGGAACTCACAGAGATCCACCTGCTTCAACCTCTGGAGTGCTGGGATTAAAGGTGCACACCACCACACCTGGCCAGATTCTTAATCTATTCTATATAGATCACTAAAGATAAGGCCTTACCAAATCTGACAAAGTCCCCAATTTCAAACATACCCTACTCATATAAAGGAAGCTGAGTTTTGTCTGAAATAGAAAAAGAAAAATTCCTTTACTATTCAAATTAATAACAACTGAATTCATTCATTCAAAAGCGAGTACAGATAGAGGCTGTAACAGAAAACCAACTCAGAAACTCAAAACTTCCTGAGGCCAAACTGCCCTACAGTTACAGGGTCAAAGCTAAGTGTCATAAAGCACTAACAGGCTATTCTTGAACAAGCTTGCACTCAGGCTACTAAGAATTTCCATTAGACTTTAAATTACACTATTCATCAGTGAGCAACTGAGGGCCATCTACCCGCAAGCTTCTCCCACACTTCCTCCCTGGTGTCTCAGCAAATAGAAGAGAGACATTATAGCACCACTACCATGGGAACTAAAGACAGACTTTCCCAGCCTAACCATGAAAAGGAGAAGTTTCCAAGTAGTTCTGTCACTTATTCATGTGGTTCTGCTACATACTTTAGAAGCAGATGGGGTTCCTGTAAGCCTGCAAAGCACCATGATGGCCTGATCTATTGAAGCTCCTGATTTGTTTAAGGAGTGCACACAAATTATCCACACAAAAGTCATACAGATTCTTCTGTGTGAAACATGTCTTCAAATAAAGAAGCAGAGAAACTTTTCTCTCTTTCTGCCTCCTACCTTTTAGCTTTATTTTGATGTTAGGATAGTCAGACAACTTCTTGTCTGTTCGGATTTCCCTGGGAATCCAGAGTGATCAGGCTCTGCAGAACCAATGCTGTGCAACAAGCAGAGTTCACAGTTGAGTGAACATCAATGTGTAATGAGTGGAGGCATTTCAATGCAAATAAATGCTGAATATGAAGGATTAAAGAAAGGGAAATTAATCTTTTTCATAACATAGGGTACTTTCCCCCTTCTTACTCACTCTTTCTTCTTTAAGTCAAGCAAACAAACTGCTGGAGGGAGTCCAACATCCCCAGTATGGTATTGGTGTTTTATAAAAAGCAGAGCATACACATTTAAGATCATGAGTTTCCTAGGACCCAGCGACTGAGATCCCAACAGCACTTCAGAAGAGTCTCAACAGGAAGTGCTTCCTGAGAAGGGCTAAAGGGACCAGGGAAAAATATCACTTGAAACCAATTCTTATTTTTCCAGTCATAGCTTCTTAGGATATTGATAGTATAAAAAGGTTTGCTTTCAACACTAGAGAGTCTTAGTTGTATTTACTGAGAGGTTTGTGTTTTCCAATTTTCCTCTAATTGTCCCATCTACACGATGCTTTCGCAACACCAGCAAAATAAACAAAGCAGCTTCAGGCTGCCTTAGCAAGTGGCTCATTGCTTCCCACTTCCTAATCTAATCTTCTTGTCCTGACCTCTCAAACTAAAGAACAACAGAAGTGTGTCCTCATGCTATCTTTTCCAAAAAATATAATCTGCTAATAATGGTAATTCTAGCTTTTTACTCCGAGCAATGTTGGATTAGAAGCTGGGCACGGTGGTTTTGGTCTGTAAACATGACACTTAAGGGACTTAGGCAGGAGGATTGCTATGAGTTCCAGGCAGGCCTGGGTCACAGTGAGATCCAGTCTCAACATGTCAACAGCAGAACATTTGGTAAGAACATTTTACATCATCAGGGGCTTATATTAAACATAAATTCCTCAAACATCCTAGTATTCCCTATTCTATTATTTTGAGAAAAAATTTTAAATTCAAAGAGTCTCTTGTAAAATTGTTAACCTAGATTAAGATTTCCTTAACCACAAATACAAATTTCACAAAGGAAAATAATTTCCAATTTGTTCCTTTCTCTTTTGAATTTAGTTCCAAGAAAAATATCAAAGACCTAGAATTTTTAAAATGAGATTTTATAAATAATGTATTCAAAGATTTTGGCCCACTCCATAAAGAATCCCACCTTGTAAAAAATATATACAGATTTGTAAGAGTTTAAATTCTCAGAATTGAAGCCTGGTGTCATGTCAAGCCTTTAGCTTTGTACTGCTTCAATCCCAAAGGAACAGCGGATAGCAATTTAGTATACAAGACTTCACTATTCTGTATAGTTCCTTTTTTCCTGGGTCAGACAGCTTTATTCTGCTTCATTAACCCCTTCTTTGCTCCTTGATGGATCTTGGAATCCAGTTTCCCTGTAAGAAAAAAAAGAAGTCTCACTCATTAAAATTTTTATATTTGCATTGCAAATCTTTCCTGGCCTCCTAGGTCTTCCAGTTACTGTGTTCCTGTCACATTCAATTATCTTGCTTCAGGATGCTGAACACTTCTAAACTTCAGAGTTTTATTTTCTAAGAAAAAAGCAGTGGGAATGCTGTACACACACACACACACACACACACACACAGAGGAATATTTATCTAAAGAATATTTCTAATTTTGTACTTTAGAATGTCTGATACTAAGGAAGACAATTCTTTTTAAAAGAATACAGACATGTAGATAAACAGAGATGAAAACAAGAGAAGAAGAAAGAATGGGGGCATGCCACAAAGAAATGCACTTCACACAGTGGGAATCCCATTCCACTGACCTGTTAACTAGCTGAGTACAAAGGATGACCCTCCCTCACAGTGGGAAAAGCAGTTCAACTCACCCTTTTGCTGCCTCAATCTTAACAGGGGGAGTGACCTGAAACAGTGGAGTAGAATCCACATAAATGCTTCCCTGACAAAGGGTCCCTATCACCAGCTCAGGGGGTAAAGGTCATAGATTATATGGCTCTTCTGAGTCTTAAACTTAGAAAATAAGGAAAAACAGCCTAGTGTCATGGTTTATGCTATAATCTGTACTCTGGAGACAGAGGCAAGAGAATCTTGTATATTCTACACCAGTTCTTGGCTGGTCAGAGAAAGCGACATAGAATGCCTCTGCTTCAAAAATAAAGAAAACAAGCCCTCTCATGTTTCAAGTGATCCAAATAAGAACTCCTCGAATGATGTGATCTTTGAATTGACTCCTCGATCTACCACAGTACAGCTAGTTCAGTGCTAGCAGCCTTTGAAAGCATCTATTTCATGACAAAAAAAAATTGTTTGTCTGACTTGTGAAAAAAGCTTGCAAATTTCTTTTCTCCCACAAAAGCCTCATTGAAGTCAATGATGATGATGATGCTAAGAATAGAAAATACTTCATTTCAGTTTTAGCACTAAAAATATAAAACAAAGAGTCCTGGATACTGTGGGCACGCACCCAGAACACCACAGACACTCGGACGTAGTTCTTTTCACTTGTTGAGCAATCCGATGTGAAAGAACTCACTTACTAGAAGCTAGTTAATAATCTGTATGAACTGGACAAGTCATTCAGTCTCTCTGGATTTCAATAGCCTCATCTGTCCATTTAAGATAAGAATACAAGTTCTGACCACCACACAAGGACACTGGGGGAAAACAGCCTCAGTCTAACAAGTTTTCTTTAGGCCTCTTGCCCTAGTGTTTGAGGGCTGCACCTGCTTCTAGAATAGCAGTACACCTTCTTCTGTGCTACCTAAGTGCTGCCCATAATAATCCCAACACTGCTGATTTTAATTTGGGTTTTAGAATATGGGCATTCCCAGTGAGTTTGGAGTTGTTTCATCTCATAGGCTGCCTAGCTGGGAATGTGAATGTGACAGCAAGCTGGCAAAGAGCCCTAATTTCATTTTCTTTTGTCTCCCTCATAGTACTTAAGTGACTGTCAATTGGTAGGTGGTCATAAATACTTTAATAAAATAAATTAAACAGGAGGTGGAAACAGACAAACAGTTCAAGGTCAGAATTAAAAACTAACCTGGATCATATGATACTTTGTCTCAAAAACAAAATGAGCAAAAAAAAAAAAAGCACACAAAAAAACAAACAGACAAAGACAAATAATACAAATTTCAAATCCTCAGTATAACAGATTAACTAAGTAACCCAAAACAGCAGATAAAAAGGGTTAGTGCTGAGGTACCAGTAAGTCTTAAGTCTTCTTCAGGCTTTTAGGACAAGCTATACGAGAATTTAGAATCTATTGAAGACTTTGATATCCAGTTCTTGGTATTGCCATAGGTTTGAAGACTCGTTGATTAGGCTTGTTTCTCAGATTTCCTCCTCTAGTTGTGTAATGATGAGGATGTTACCTCGTCATTTCTATCTTCAAGTTTTGTTCAACTAAAAGAAGTACTACCCACTATAAAGTCCCTTTTCAGTGCCATGATATTGTGTCCTGAAAATGAACTATAAATTGGAAATCTGTTCCTGAGACAATCCGATAAAGTTTAAGGAACAGAAGAACAATAGAAAGATGAATAAAATACAATCTGTGAGTTGGGTATGCTGTCTCACACCTACAATCCTCTCAGAACAGTGAGGCAGGGTGGCTTTGAGTTCAGGGTCAGTCTAGGTTACACAATGCACCTGAGGTCACCCTGGACGACACAGTAAGACCCAGAGAACCTATCTCAAAAAATATATAAACCCTTTTATGGTCATACCACCTTGAACATGCCCAATCTTGTCTGATCTTGGAAGTTAAGTAGGGTCAGGCCTGGTTATTACTTGGATGGGAGACCACCTGAGAATACCTAGTGCTGTAGGCTTAAAATAAACAAACAAAAAACAATCCAAACCCTTACAACTTCCCTAAACCTGCTTACTCATCTGTAAAATCAAAAGCAGATGGATAAAACCTAGTATCTGACAGAGTTGTTAAGATTATTGCTAGGCTGAAGAGATGGCTCAGTGGTTAAGAGCACTGGCTGTTGGGAGTTGGAGAGATGGCTCAGAAGTTAAGAGCATTGCCTGCTCTTCCAAAGGTCCTGAGTTCAAATCCTAGCAACCACATGGTGGCTCACAAACCATCTGTAATGGGGTCTGGTGCCCTCTTCTGGCCTGCAGGCATACACACAGATGCAGGCATACACACAGACAGAATATTGTATACATAATAAATAATAATAATAATAATAATAATAATAATAATAATAATAATAATAAAGAGCACTGGCTGTTTATCCAGAGGACCAGGGTTCAATTCCCAGTGCTCACATGGCAGTTCACAACTGTCTGTAACTTCAGTTCCAGGGGACCTGACACCCTCATATAGACATTCATGTGATAAAACACCAATGTCCATAAAATAAAAATAAATAAATTATTTTAAAAAAAAGAATATAGCTAACATGTGCTTTCTGTAGACTAGGCACCATGCTAAGAATTTTACATATATGAATCATTAAATCAACTAATTGAAATAATAGTTGTCTCTGTATTTATGGGGTTTTGGCTTTAGGATCCTCACAAACATCAAACTCCAAAGATATTATATGAATCCCTTATATGAAATGGTGTGAGGCTTGCATACATTCTACATTGCCCTGTAAAATTTAAATTCTCTATAAATTGTCATACTTAATACAATGTAAATGCTTTATGAATAATTTTGTTTCATTTTGAGGAATAGCTTTCAAGACAGGGTTTCTCTGTGTAGTCCTGGCTCTCCTGGAACTAGCGGTAGACCAGGCTGTCCTTGAACTCACAGAGATCCAACTGCCTCTGCCTCCCAAGTGCTGGGATTAAAAGTGTGTGCCACCACCACCACCTAGCACTTCCAGTACTCTTAGCCACTAATTTCTCTCTCCAGCTCCTTTAATTTTAATTTTTTTTCTTCTGGGTTTTTTTCAAGAGAAGGTTTCTATATGTAACAGTCCTGGTTGTCCTGAACTAGCTTTGTAGACCAGACTGGCCTCCAACTCACAGAGATCTGCCTGCCTCTGCCTTCTGAGTACTGGGATTACAGGCATATTCCACCATGTCCAGAAATAAATATTTAATGTAATGGAGTCCTAAATGAAAAGTTTAGAGTGACTTGCTATCATGCCGATAACTGTACACTTGGGAAAAGCTAAACTATAATAAATATGACTTTAATGTTATTGATAAACATAATTATCTTCCAATGCTAAATATGACACTAAACACAGAACAGTGTGTTGTGGATTATTTCTTTACACCATGTGAAGATATTTCACTCTGATTGGTATAATAAAGAGCTGAATGGCCAATAGCTAGACAGAAAGAGGTTAGATGGAACTTCCGGGGACAGAGAAGACTGGCAGGAAGAAAGGTGGAGTTGCCAGCCAGACTCAGAGGAAGCAGATGGGCAGTATGCAGATGAGGTAAGGCCACATGACAGAACACAGATTAATATAAATGGGTTAATTTAAGTTATAAGAGCTAGTGGGAGTAGCCTAAGCTAAGCTTTTATAATTAAGAAATCTCTCTGTCGTTATTTTTGAGCTGGCAGCCAACAACAAATCTTACTACAAGTGTTTTTTCAAATGGAGACAAGTAAGTTGCAAGAGAAAATGAGATCCTAAAAGATGATGACTTACAGATTTTAGGATTTCCTTTAATAGGAAACTTCACAACCATTTCCTGAGGGTTTTTGCAGATGAAAACAAATGGAGAATCAGACTCTTGACTGATGTCCGGGAACTGAAAGATAAAAAATTCAGGCTAATTGGGACAAATTTGTTACTTTACAGAGATCAAGGAACAGCCCAGATTTTACCTCAATCCTGATGACAGTGCTCTCTGGTTCACAGACCAGGAGGGCTATGCTCTACAATAACAGAACTCCAGCTTTCTGAAGGTTTGACATGGTATTACACAGTCTATTGCCTGGCATCTCTGGCTTCTTATAGTGGAATCAGCTTCCTAAACAAAGGATGCCTGACATTCCTCCAGAAGGATGGGAACTGACCTATCTTTTAACACAGGCAGCTGTGAGAGTCTCAGATCTCCTGGAATGTTTGGTAACACCCTAGGTTCAGCTCAATGGATGCCCTGGAAGACTTATGAAATTCTGTCAGAAACAGCACACACAACAGCACACACAACTTCACTAAGGAGAAGGAAGATGATTCATTCTGAAAGGTATGATCATGTAAAGGCTGTTCAGCTGGATATACTACAGAACTGCTTAGGGAGAAAGGGAAGTGGCAGACTTTTTTCTGAAAAAAGTCATATCACAAAACAAATTTACATGAATATTTAAGAGGTTTTTGTTTTTTTGTTTTGTTTTTGAAAATGCATACATGGAACCCAAGACCATACTAGGGACATAACAACAGGTTAAGAAACCATTACAGATCAGCAGAAATGTTCTTTAGCAATGCCCAAACAAACTGATGTCTCATTGTTTCATATCTTAGGATGTCTAGCCTATAGCATGTTTGATAAATGACTGATAGGCACTAATCAAACTTAATTACCAGAGTTCTTTTCCCAGTAATCACTATTAAAAATAGAGCGTTAATTTTACTCTTATTCACCCTTTAAGATCTATTCTCTCATAATCTAAATAAAGGTCTAGATCCAAGAGTCTTGCTGGGCATGGTGATTTGCGCCTGTAGTCCCAACACTTGGCTAATGGAGGTAAGAGGAAGAGGTGTTAAAGGCCAGCCTTGGCTACATAATGAGTTTCAGACCAGTCTGTGCTGCACAAGATGCTGTCAAAAAACAGCAATGACAATAAACAAACAAAGATCGGGGCTGGGAAACCAGGTATGTTGGCACACATCTAATCCCAGCACTTAGAAGGCAAAGACAGGCTGATCTCTGTGAGTCTGAGGCCTACATAGTGAGTTCTAGGCCAGTCAGGGCTACATAATGAGACTCTGTCTAAACAAAACAAAGCAAGATAAACCCTGATAGTCCAAATTAGACAGCAGTTTCAGAGAAAAAAATAATAAAGAGGAAAATTAAAATGTGTCTATAACTGGTGGAAGCATAAATACTTAAAATTTCTTCATTGCGCACACTATCCAAGGTGTAAGTGATACTGTGGGAAAAGTAAAAAGAATTTTCTAAATGTTTGGTCCTGCCTATATACCATGGCCTTCAGTGAGGCAGGTGGGATGTGCAGCCTGATAAAATATAAACTTAATATCACAAATATTAATATCACAGGCACAAAAGTCATAGCCATGTACAAAGTGAAAACACTCATAGTAGAGGAGCTGAGAGGATGGATCAGCAGGCACTCTGAGAAGAGTGGAGACAAAGATCCATGCAGCACACCAACCAACCCAGTTAAGCCAATGAGCTCCAGGTTCTGAGAGCAACTACCTCTCAAAAAGGTTAAAGAGGAATTGAAGAAGACAGCCAACATGTGTAGGCCAAGGGACAAATTCCTGGGCGCAGGATCCTGCCTTCTACCTTGTTTCAGGGGCAGAGTCTCTCTTGTTTTGGTGGCTGAGCTGTATTCATAGGTTTCTTCACTCTTCTCACCTTAGCAGTGCTGGAGCTGTGACTGTAGATCGGGCTTTCTATGTGGTGATAGAACTCAGAACTCAGGGGATCAAGATTGTGCCACAAGCCTCTACCCATGGACCACCTCCCTGGCCTGTATTTCTTCTCTCTCTCCCCCCCTCTTCCTTTCTCCCTCTTTCTTTATTTCAGTGGTTTATTTATTTATTTATTTATTTATTTATTTATTTATTTATTTTTGACACAGGGTCTCTCTACATAATCCTGGTTGTCCTGGAATTCACTCTACAGACCAGGCTGATCTCCAACTGAGAAAGATTGCTCTGCTTCTCTGAGTGCTAGGATCAAAGGTGTGCACTACAATATGCAGCTATTCTTTTGCCTTGGTTGTCCTGGAACTCATTCTGTAAGTCAGGCTGGCCTCGAACTCACAGAGATTCGCCTGTCTCTGCCTCCCGAGTGCTGGGATTAAAGGATAAAGGATTAAATTCCAGGACATCCAAGGCTACACAGAGAAACCCTGACTTGAAAAATCAAAACAGGGCTGGGCAGTGGTGGCACACGCCTTTAATCCCAGCACTCAGGAGGCAGAGACAGGCGAATCTCTGTGAGTTTGAGATCAGTCTGTTCTACAGAGCTAGTTCCAGGACAACCTGATGAAACCCTGATAGGGGAGTTCAGCTAATCACATTCTGTTTTGGGGGCATGCCGCCCTCAGGCTAAAGCCTGTCCATAAACCTAGCAAGCTCGCTCTGCTAGACCCTTTTTCGCCTGGCTCCTGCATCCTGATGGATCGTTTGGATTCTGGTGTAAGCTGTTATAAGTCTTACTTCTGTTTATTAAAGCTGTATATTTTGTATCAAGATAGTTTGGGAACTTTTCATTACCAGACGCCCTGCGGCTTCAAAACCCTGCCTTGAAAAACCAAAAAAAAAAAAAAAAAAAGAAACAAAGTAAAAAACAGAGAATTTAAGAAATATATATATATATATGAATATGTATGTACACATATATATTTAAAGCACACACAAACAAAACAAAAAAACCCACAATGAGATACCATGTCATACTCACTAAGATGGCTACAAGTGACAAAAACATGAAACACATAGTAGCAAAGGGATGAAGAAACTAGAACACTTCTGTAAATGAAAAGTGGTCCAGTAACAGTGGAAAATAGTTTGGAGGGTTCTCTAAGGCTCAGCAGAGAATTATCATTATCCTCAACAACCAGAAAAGAAGTGAAAAGAATCTCAAACAGGGGGCTGGAGAGATGGCTCAGAGGTTAAGAGCATTGCCTGCTCTTCCAAAGGTCCTGAGTTCAATTCCCTGCAACCACATGGTGGCTCACAACCATCTGTAATGGGGTCTGGTGCCCTCTTCTGGCCTGCAGACATACACACAGACAGAATATTGTATACATAATAAATAAATAAATATTTTTTTAAAAAAAATAATTTCAAACAGGTATTTGTACACTAATGTTCAAAACAACATTATCTAACAACCTAGTAACAACTGAAAAAACAATTGAAGAGTATTTTTCTGTCTGAGAAAGGAAGGGAATTCTGAAACATTCTACAACCTGGGCAAACCATGGAAACATGATAAACGAAATAAGACACAAAAAGACAAATTCTGCATGATTCAACTTAAATAATGTACTTAGAATAGGATAGGCAAATTCCCAGGGATAGGAAGTATAATAGGGGCCAGTTAGGACAGCTGAGAAGGTAAAATCACTTACCAAGCAAACACACAAAGGTAGAAGAAGCTTGGTGTGGTGGCGCATGCCTTTAATCCCAGCACTTGAAGGCAGAGGAAGATGGATCTTTATAAGTTCTAGGCCTACTGAATTTACATAGAGAATTCCAGGAAAAAAAAAAAAGAAAGAGAGAGAGAAAGGAAAAAGAAGATATGACAGGGACTAGATGGCCTCTGACTTCCATAAAGATGCCTTCTGACCTCCACACACGTACCATGACCTATGTGCTTGTGCATATGCAAGCACACATGGTAAAAAGAAAGAAAGAAAGAAAAGGAAAGGGGAAAGGAAGGAGAGAGGAGGGGAGGAGAGAAAGTGACTGGAGAGATTGAACCCAGGTTTGATTCCCAGCACCCACAAGGCAGCCCACGAATGCCTGCAACTCCAGTTCCAGGGGATCCAACACCCTCTTTTGACCTTTGTGGGCTCCTGGACATATGTGGTACACATATATACACTCATAAATACACATACATATAAAATTTTAAAAATAATTTTTAAAATTAAAATAAGTAAAATAGAGGTTACCAGGGACTGAGATCTGGGAGGAAAGAGTGATTAATGAATAGGTACAGAGTCGGTGGTTAGGACAATAGGAAAATTTGGAGATGGGTAGTGATGGTGACTATATACTGTTATGAATATAGTTGATGTCGCAGTACTGTAACACTTAAAAGTGCTTAAAATAGAAAGATCTATCTTATTCAAGGTTTATCACAATAAAAATAAAATTTTAACAATTAAGGTTAGGAGCTGTTAGGGGCTAAGATCACTCCTGCTCTTTCAGAGGACTAGAATCCAGTTCCCAGCACCTTCATCAGGCAGCTCAACTGCCTGTAACTCCAGCTCCAGGGAATCTGATGCCCTCTTCTGACCCTGGGCACCATAAGCAAACACACATAAACAAATAAATGAAAAAAAATAAATTAAATAAACCTTTTGAAAACTTAGAGTGAGTTTCTTTTCCAGGCTTGATGGTTGTATGCTGTATTTGTTGGTCTGAAGTGAGAGTTTCATAAATTTGAGCTCAATATGGGGTCCATAGTGGAAACTCAAGGAAAAAAAAAGAAGAAGAAAAGGTGATTCCATCTATCTGTCCATTTATCAGGCCAAGTCATTAAAAAAAACCCTATCAACGATAGCTATATAATACAACCTACAAAATACATCCGGCACCTATTTTGTCTCACTGTGCTGCCCTGGCCTTGAATTCACAATTCCTTGTCAAAGCCTTGCCAGTGTTGAGGTTACAGGCATTGGCCACTATGACTGATTTCTATGTAGTGATAGAAATTCAAACTCAGGTCCACATGCTTGCACAGCAAGTGCTTTAGCCACTTAGCTAACTAACAACTTTTAGAAGGAACTAGGGAGATGGCTCAATGGCTCAGAGAGTCTGCTGCTCTTCCATAGGACCTGAGACTGATTCACAGCACCCGCATTGGACAGCTTACAATTG